TCTAAATTGACCAGGTTTGCAATCATTTTGTTATTGGGTTTCCATTTTATTGGGAAAAATTAATGCTGGCCTGTCTTTTGATGAAGAACCAACCAACTTTGATTTTTCAAAAGAGATTTCTGGTTCTTATGGAAATAAAACTTCCTCGCCTGATAGCTAGAAGAGCTTCCTACATGTGGCCTTAGATGATCTTCCAGTTACAGTAATACGCGGTCTTTTCATGAGTTCCCCTGGATACTGTGGAGGTTGTATACTGAGAAAAATATTTTGGCAGATATACTGCAAACATATGGTGGCAATGCCTAGGTCGAAGCTCCATTAAATCATAAGAACACAGAGGCTGAGCAGAATCGGAGAGATGACGGTGATGTGATAGATGCAAAACCCAGAACCAAAAAAAATAGGGTTTTGCCACTTTGCTAGAAGAAATGTAATACATACAGTGACATAATTCGAGGTGACGCTAGATGATTTGATGAAAAAGCTGATCGTATTTAAAATAATCCAATGATGAAATGTCACGAGTCATTATGTCAAAAATTATGACACTATAACATGATGAAAAGAAAAAATACTGTTGATTGGGATATGCTTGGTATAGGTCATCTCACATGAAGTAGGACTCGTTTGAAACAGTAAGAAGTGTTGATTAATGATTTCCATATTTTCAAGTTTAGAAGGAATCATGTAATACTTCTGCATTGAGCAGAACTGTACAGGGCATTTCACATTTGTATAATCTGGAAAAATTGCACAAAGCAGTTCTGTAAAGAGGAACATGGACGCAAATGGTGTTAATTAGTATGTCACGTTGGTTTAATCGTACATTTTATAAACATTAAGGCCATGTTTGATTGCACTTCAATTCCTGAATTCCATCTTCCACATTTTTACATGTTTGATTGTCCAAATTTTTCATGAAATTAGTTTTCCATCTTTCATCCAAATGTTCACATTTTCTTGGTTTTTGATGAAAATATTTTCCCACCACTTTGGTAGGAAAAGCTTTTCTATGCAATTTTTTTTTTAATTTTTTGTTTTATTTTTTTGGTAATGGAAACAAATTTTATCCCTTTAATGGACAATTTCCAAGAAAAACAAAGTCGAAAGATCCAAAATTTCAATATTTTTCAGGTGAAAAATTATATCAATCAAACACAATTAATTGACAATTTTTAGTAAAACAAATTTTAGGCAAATTCAATTTCCTAAAATTTATTTTCTTTCCACCCAAATTTCATTCTTGCAATCAAACGGGCCCTAATTGAAAAGAAAAAAAAATCATTTAAAGTTAAAAGTTACACTTACATAATATTTTTCACTATTTTTCTATATGAACGTAACTAATTTCAACTCCCCAATTTATTAATCCCATGCTTCAAAAAATATCATTTTCTCTCATCAATGGGATACATATGTTGAGTATGTAAAACTTGACAAGATCCCTCGACTTTTCTCGCAATATAAACCTATTTTTGTAAATTAAGATATGAAGAGTTATGCAATAGGGTTTTTCGAAGTCTTTCATCACAAGGAAATTTCTCTTGGAAGAGATTTAAATTCATTAACATAAGTTCGTCCTTGTAATAGGCTTTTGATATTCTGTAATTCCTATTAAAAAAATTAATGACAAATATCTAATTATTTCGTATTCAACCTCAGAACGTTACAAAGACTTTCATTTTAGCACGTTGAAATTACTTCAATATATACAAGTTTTTTATTTCACTAATTATTAGCATTCCAAATACCTCGTGATACAAGATTATTTGAACTACAAAATCGAACTATATTATAAACACATGGAAAGCTTCCAAACAACTGGTTGCCCCCAACAATCAACTCAGATGCTACACAAATAGCACTAGCAAACTATCAAATGCAAAAATGACATAATTTATCTATTTTCCTGATAGAAATAAATATCATTACGTCAGGTGTTATGTATTGAAAGCGAGTGTGAAAAGCATGCAACTCACACCAATAAAATGTGTTTGATTGACTTAATTTTCAACCTAAATAATGTTGTATTTTTTTATAAAGTTGAGTTTTTGGGAAGTGTGAATTACCTAAAAAATAAAAACATACCATCAATGAAGAAAATATTTCCTTATTTTTGAGAAAAATTATGGTCTCGTGATCGACTTTTGACAAATATTTGTTTCAAAAAAATGTCAATCAAATACCCAAAAGTATAAATTTTGGTAAAAAACTGACATTTTTCATGAAAAATAAAGTCAATCAAATACACCATAAGTTTTTTTTTTTTTATCCGTATATCAGTACAGTACTTATTCGAAAGTTAGCCACCTCTTAATAGTCTGAATATGAATACGATACGTGACCTTTTTAACATCAAAATTGACAAAATCCTTCTACTGGAAAGTTGACACTTATTTGCTATGTGCTTATGTGAATTCATTGGTCCTTTACACGTTGGTAATGGGGCATCTCTTCTATTACGCTCATGTTTGATCTCATTATTTTTAAAATACATATTTTTTCAGTAACATATTTTTTAATAAAATAATATTACACGCAAACTCAATTTTTTTTTTAATTTTTAACCACACATTCTCCAACAATCACTATTCAAAAATGCATTCTTTGTCAAACAATGATCTTCCTACATGGACATTAAGGATTAAATAATGGGTTGCGTAATGTCACGTGACACTCTACCATTTGTCAGTTTAAAATACAGTCAACTTTTTCATCCTTTTTTTTTCCTCTACATCATATTACCCTTATATACAATTTTGATGTACAAGCAGCAAAATTCGTGAAGTAATGAGATTCAAACAAGGCCAGACACAAATAATAATTAACTAATGGAGGAATCTTACGTAAGGGTGACTAACACTAGCACTAACAACCTAACTAAAGTGTAAAAGTAAGATTGCAGGTGTCATTAGATCTGTAATCCTCCTTTCTCCATTCCTTTGCTTAAAGTTAAACATTAGCGAAAGTTGTTTAAAGATTGTTGATGTTACACTAACATTTTTAGACCTACCTACTTGTACTATATCGATATAGATTATAAAGAAATTAAAAGAAAAAAAATGTGTATTGTTAAAATATAAAGAAATTTGGGCGCATTGGACGGTTTTCGTAAAAATAACAATGAATGAAGCTGGTAGACTAATATAATTCGTGACCTCAAATTTACCAATTTACTTGTATATGATCTCGAACACTTGTGGTGCGTTTAATTGCGAGTATGAAGTTTGTATGGAAAGAAAATAGACGTGTTTGATTGATTTGTGAAAATTATTAATTAAATACATCTGATTGATTTAGTTTTCAACCTAGAAAATATTATAATTGTTCATCTCTTATTTTTCTTATTTTCAAGGAAAATATGATCAAGTAACCAAAAGTAACAAAATATTTTTCGTGAAAAAAATTGTCAATCAAATAGCACAAAAGTAGGAAATCGTTTGGAATAATACATTTTTCATGAAAATATATTGACAATCAAATGCACCTTTAGCATCTAATTGAAAAGATATATGACAAGATCCGATCAAATTTGATTATGTTCAAATGATAAGTCATAGCAAAACAATAACGATGATGTCCACAATAACATTCTTTGTTAATTTTCTCGATTTATATAGTACAAACATAGCAATACATTTAAAGAATATAAAAAAGTTATTTTGTGGTGTTATAATGTTCGACCAATAACCTAACCTTGTCTGCTTTTGTATAGTGAACATTGACTACAATGCAAAAAAAAAATTGTTGTTTGAAAATTGATTTTTTAAAGAATGAATGGTTACAGGGAGACTTTATTGCTATTTTCGGAACCATTGAGTAGATTCAAAATAGTAAGTCCGATAAGAGGAAATGCTAGAACTTGCCGTAATGAAAAGTTTCGGATTGGAAGATCGAACAATAAACAATCATTCTCGTTTCACCTTTTTCCTCAAGAAATTGCAAATATTTTTTACCGACGTAAAATTATGGATTCACTTGTAAACTTATTTTATAGAAAAGATGTATAGTTAAAAATTAATTTGAAGCATAATAAATTTTTTAAAGAATATAATTCAAAGCCCATTTGACATGATTTTTTACTTTTACTTTCAGTAAAAGAGAATCTTGAAAAAACTATTTTAATTTTCGTTTGAAAATTAATTTTTAAAAAAATTCTTATTCTGAAAGTACCTTTAGAGACAGTTCACATTGGGCAAGGTTCATCTAAAAACTTTTTAATTAGAAGAAATAATTTCATAAAATTAATTAAAAGTATTTTTTAAATCTCAAAAACCCATTTCGACGTCTCAAAGTGAAGCCATCCCAAACGGGCCTCAAACCTGGCTTAGGAAAAATTAATAGGTGGCCGCCAAATATCCAAAAGACCAGCTTACAAAAATGCCAATAAAATTAGATGTGCTTTGAAAAATCGTATGAAAATTATTTTGAAAGTAAAAAATACTATTAAATACCACTTTTTTGACATTGTGTTGCTTTTTAAAGTTAAATATCACTTTTAAAAAAAATAAAAAATGACATAGAATGTCACTTTTATTAAAAAGTGATATTTATCATCCAAAAAAATTATAAAAATTTCAAGAAAATAATAGAAAAAAGAGACAAAATAAAAAAGTGACACAAATTCAAAAAAAGTGGCATAATTTTTTTTTAAAGGGGACAAGCTCAAACAATTGACATAAATTTTTAAAGAGCGACACAAATTCGAACAAAAAAAGGTAGAAAATAAAAAAGTGACAAGCACTAAAAAAGGGTAACGAGATTAATAAAAAAGTGACGGAAATTAAAAAAAAAAATCGAATGTAAGTCGCCCTGCTGAAGCTAAATCCTTCCCTTTCCCTTGTTCTTTCGCGACTCTTTGATTTATTAGACGAATCAAAATCCACAGTCCTGCTACATCCATTGCAACCCCAAGAAGAAAATACTGACAACAAAAGCAACACCATTGTCACCCCCTTTCAGTTTCAATTTCTAGTGTCCATTTCCTGTTATCGTTATTATATGCAAATTTACATATCAATCATACAACGACACAATACACTCAAAGATTTTTCCAACTCTTGAATAAAGAAAAATGGTGAAGAAGAAGAAATCAATTAATGAATTCTTGGTGTCGGAACGCAAGATCTGATGCTTTTCAGCTTATATTAAAATTGATTACGTGTGCATCAGAGCTAAATTACTTAAATTTACGTGCTGAAATTTACGTGGATAGCGATAAACCGTGAGAAAGGAAGTAAACCTTTGGGAAAAAAAAATGAAAACAACATTTTGAGATAACCAATCACAGACATTTAATGAAACGTTGACCAATATTCTGTTGCAACCTGCTCCTATGAATGCTATCTCACGCCCACTTGAGCTCCATCGATTTTAGTAGCCACGAATTGGACGTGTTCAGGGGTTCAGAGATTTTAGAACGCATTAATTACGTTTTTAAATAATTTAATTAGTTAATAGGATATTAATCAAAATAGTTAAAAAAATTTAGGCAATGTTTGATTGAGGTGGTTTTCAATGGAAAATAAATTTCATTTCTACACAAATTACATGTTTGATAGGCTAACAATTATTGGTAATTGAATTTTCACATTTTGGCCCACACGTGCACAATTCTTAGTTTTTGAGGAATTCATTTTCCCATGGTTTTGGTGGGATGATCTTTCATCCTTTTTTTTTTTATGCAATAGAAACAAATTTTATCCCTAATTGTAAAAAAAAAAAAAAAATTCTCAATAAAGAAAAATTTTCATGGAAAACAAATTCAAACGAACACCAAAAGATCCAAAATTTCAACATTTTTCAGGTAGATAATTATACTAATCAAATACAATTAATTGACAATTCTCAATAAAATGAATTCTAGACAATTTAATTATGAAATTCATTTTCCTTCCATCTAAATTACATTCTTAAGAGCAAATGGACCCACATAGTACTTGGCCTAATTTGTCCTATTAGAAAAAGGAAAAAGGAGAAAAAAAACCACTAAAACTAAAATATACAAGAAAAAGAAAAGGAAGGGAAAGGAAAAGGGTAGAGAAAGGAATCACCAAACAGTCGGCGTCCATCCGCCGACCAATCATCACATACCTATCATTACCCACCCACCCCCTTCTCCCTGAAATCCTATCTCATCTCAATTATATATATATGCATATACTTGTTTCCATTTTCTGATTTTTTAGTTCTTTTTTTCTTAATCTTCTGTGGGTTTTTGTTTCTTCCGTTAATTTTTTTTTACAGAAATCGGAAGATGAATTTAGTTTAGATAGAGCGGAGTTTATTTCACTAGGCTTTTGTTTTCTTTAATTGATTTGATCTGACCCTTTTTTTTTCTTTCTTTATTTACTCGGGTTTTGTTTATTTTGTTCAATTTTACTATGGGGTGTCTTGTTGTCGAGTCAACTCAGTCTCAGACTCGGACTGAAGAAACCATAACTGAAAATGGTTCAAAGGATAAGAGAAAGAATCGTCGATCCAGACGATCCAAGCGAAATTCCTCTCTCTCAGGTAATTTTTGTATTTATAGCGTATGCACAAGAACCAATTATATTACATAGTCTTTTGTTTGTATAGATTTGATTTATTTTTGCTTTTCTTCTGTATTTGGGATATAAGAAAAATAATTTATTGGATTTGAATGTTGAAAGAAGTGTGCTTACTTTTTAATATCGTGGTGGGTGGAGGTTGTGTGCACGGTATTGTAGCTAGGTTTAAGCTAAGACTAGTGGTTTTTTATTTTTTTGTTTTGTTTTGAATTGATTTTAGAATTTATATTTTAGGTTCCGCAGCATATATGAGCCATATTATATTCATAATGTTTACTTTAAATGTCAGTGAATATTTGGATTGTTTACCCTGTTTACTTATTTAATTCAAACATTTTGTGCACATATCTGTTTCTTAAAATGCAAGTTCCTTTTCTCCAAAATTGGTTGCTTGGATTTTTTTGGTGCACTCTCATGGTTTTTGTACTCTTGATTTTGGAGCAGCTAGTAGCTCAGTAAGTCAAATACACGGTGGTGAATCGAGTCCTGTGGAAGGTGATTGCTCACTGAATAGAATGGGCTCTGATGAGCGTCATCAACTGCCGCAAGCATCTAATGCTGGAGGGTTCAACTCTTTGTCGACAATGGATGTTAATGAACAAACTGCAGATGAAAATTTGCAGAATATGCCAGCACTTATGCTTGATATTAATGGAGAACTATTGTCTAATTCATGCCATGATTCGGCTGTCAATGAAGAGTCTACAGGACCTGTTCTTTTGGCCCGTCCCAATATTTGTCAGATTCAGCAAAAATATTTCCCTGCACATTGGTCTGCTGAAGCTGTTACTGAAGCATTAGAGGTCAGTTAAGGACCAAATATGTGGCTTGCTAATTCAGCATGAGATGCTTAAACTATATTTATGGAAGCGTATTACAGTTAAATAGATACTTTCTTTTTTTCCGTCCATGACACCACTTTTTCTGTTTTCAGAGAGGAGATGCATTTAAAGCATTATTTCGTGTAAATGCTTTCAACAGACTTGAGGTTTGTACTAAAGGTTTCTTCACATATGGTTTCTCGTGGCCTCTTGTATTGGTTCACGAAATGCGAATTCTTAGAAGATTCTTTCATTTTAGGCCTATTGCAAAATTGATGGAGTGCAAACGGACGTTCTCATTAGTGGATCGGTGGCTCAAAATAGAGCTGTAAGTTTTAATCCCCCCGAATGTTGACTACAAGCATGCATAGATTTTCTTTTCTTTCTCTTGTTCTTTTTCTGGGGTGGTAAAATGCAATTTATGTATTGGAGTGTAGCAAATAACGAGCAGATCTTTTATGCCTTTAATAAGCTCAACTTTAATTTATATTGATATTATATTTTGCTGGTAATTTAATAATTTTACGTCATGTGTTTAATCTTTAAAGCTTCTTACACCTCTTTTTAGTTTTTACCACTCTAAAGGATGGTAAAAGATTGTTTCCTTGAACTGGCATTTTTGTTTTAATCTCTTGAGATGTCCAGTTAGCTGGCATTTCCATCGGTCTTAATATGCCCTTACAACAACAAAACAACTCCAAGGATTAGTGAAATTTCGGCAAGCAAGCCCATCTGAACATTTGGGTTAATAAGTGTTTCCTCCAGCTATTAGTTGGCCTTGGAAGGGGTGGATGTGGAGCGCATGAGAAGCACATCATTTTGTCCTTTGGTGTCTCCTGTCTTTGTATTCGATTTTATATACAATTTTGGCGTCATTTACTTGCTGCTTATCACCAAGTTGTTACGATATCCCTTTTTTCCATATTGGATAAACTGTGGCTTTCACAAAAACTAGCATGTTTATATGTTCTGTTTCTTCTAAATTGATTAGCCTGGCTTTAAAAAATTTGTACACTGCCCAAATATGTGATTTCTTACTCGTAATGAAACATGCGTCTAGTGTTATATGTATATTTATTAATTATTTTGTACTGGATTATCATTCTTTTTGGTGTAGGTTGAAGGAGACATAGTCGCTATTGTCATTGATCATCCATCACTGTGGACTAAAATGAAAGGGTTTAATGAAAATGCCAATCATTCTGCATTGATTGATGATTGTGTGTGTCAACCTGAAGCTGTTGAATATGCGCGGGATAGTTCCAAAGGAAAAAGCAAGTTAGATCCTGAGGATGATCATGATTGTTCTAGGAATTATTCAGTTCCAGCTGAGAAGAGAATTTATTATGAAAATGAGAGTTCAGTCAGAGAAATGGCTCACTTAGATTCAACAGAAGTTTCAGAGAATGGTTACATAAATGGATATCATCCATCTACATCTTATTCATCTAGTGCAGATTATTCTGTTAGTGTAAGTGATGATGGAAATGCAGTAGAGAAGTTGTGTGCCGTGGTGAGTTCATTTTCATCAAAACGACCAACTGGTAAAGTTGTGGCTGTTATTGAAAGCTCTCTCAGACGGGACACGGTTGTTGGTTTCCTAAGTGTGAAGCAGCGGATTTATGGCAGGGAGAGTAACAAAAAAGAGTCTAGGAAGAATAAACATCGATTAACTGCTTTAAATCGTGGACACATCCTGTTAACTCCAAACGATCCCAAATTTACCAAAATGACAGTCCCTGTGAAAAACCTTCCAGAATGCATCAAGAAACGATTGGATTCTGGAGATGCAACAGTTGAAATGGACCTTGTAGCTGCACGAATTGTTAACTGGGGTGAAGAAAGTTATATTCCAGAAGCTCATGTGATGCATATGTTTGGAAGAGGTAGTGATGTAGAAGCGCAGATTGCTGCTATTTTATTTGAAAATGCAATCGACCCTTCTGAGTTTTCTTCTGAAGTACTTTCCTGCCTTCCTCACATTCCTTGGAAGGTACCAGTGGAGGAATTACAGAAAAGAAGAGATTTGAGAAATTTATGTGTTTTTACCATTGACCCTGCCTCTGCCATCGATCTTGATGATGCACTATCGGTTGACAGGTTATCCGATGGTGTTTTCAGAGTAGGGGTCCACATAGCTGACGCTTCGTATTTTGTACTACCCGACACAGCTTTAGATATTGATGCTCAAATCAGGTCAACAAGTGTTTACCTGTTGCGGACTAAATTGCCAATGTTGCCCCCATTGCTTTCAGAGAATCTATGTTCACTTAAGCCTGGAGTAGACAGACTGGCCTTCTCTATTTTTTGGGACATCAATCCTGCTGGAGAGGTCCTAGATCGCTGGATAGGCCGCACAATCATAAAGTCTTGCTGCAAGCTCTCTTACGAACATGCTCAGGAGATCATTGATGGGGCATTTGATAATCGTGGTTCTATTTCTATAGGAAATCACTGGCCCCAGTTACATGGTCAATTTAAATGGTTTGATGTAATTGGGTCTGTTAGAAGCCTACATGAGATTTCAAAAGTCTTGAAGGAGAATAGATTTACTCATGGGGCCCTGTCACTTGAAAGCCCTAAAATGGATTTCGTATTTGATGAAGATGGTGTTCCCTATGATAGTGTGTTCTCAGAACGGAAGGAGTCGAACTTTCTTGTGGAGGAGTTCATGCTTTTGGCCAATAGGACAGTTGCAGAAATAATAACGAGGGCTTATCCTACTAGTGCCCTGTTGAGAAGGCACCCTGAACCTAATGTACGTAAACTCAAAGAGTTTGAAACGTTTTGCAACAAACATGGACTACATTTGGATGTTTCTTCTTGTGGGCACCTTCATCATTCGTTGGAGCGTATAAAGCGAGAGCTTGAATATGACTCTGTGCTGTTTGATATTCTGATGTCTTATGCTGCAAGGCCGATGCAATTGGCTGCATACTTCTGCAGCGGTGATTTTAACTATGCTGAAGAGGGTTGGGGTCACTATGCCCTTGCCATACCTCTTTACACTCACTTCACTTCTCCACTACGTCGATATCCGGATATTATAGTGCATCGCACACTTGCTGCAGCTATAGACGCTGAAGAGATGTACTGGAAACAAAGGATGCTCCAAAAATTGAAAGGAGAAGACGCTGTAATCCGATATTTTACCGGTATATGCTTTGACAAAGATACCATGGAATCACCTGAAGCTCAAGCAGCTTTATCTGCTGCAGCTGCAAAGCACCGGGTTCCAGGTACTGAAATCCTTGCTGATGTAGCTGGTCATTGTAATGAGAGGAAGCTGGCTAGCAGGCGTGTAAAGGATGCTATGCATAAACTCTACATGTGGAATCTGTTGAAAAAGAAAGAGGTATGTTTACTGCACGACTTGTTTACAGATTTGGAATGTCAATGACCTTTTGTTAGTCTTCTAGACTTGCAACATAGTTTGGTCGCCGGAAACAACTGATATGGTGACTAATTTGTTTGCTCTTTCCTGTCATTTTTCCGCTTTCTACTTATTGTTCTTTCCCCTCTTTCCTTTGTCATGACAAGGGGTGTGGTTATGATTCTACATTGAGACTCTATGAAGCTGGAGTATCTTATGGTTCTGCTTATAAATATTAGTTAAAAACTTAATGTTACTACTGGCATATGGTCCCTTGTGGTGGAATGCCTTCTTGTATACTAAATTGTTTTCATTATTTTTGCTTCATCGAAAAGGTTTTCAAATCTTTAAAACTGTGCAAATCATATTTTGTCGTCACCATCTTCTTGCACCTTTTTATTCTAACCGCGGCCTCTATTTTCTATCAGAAAATAAATTCAACCAATCTATATGAAGCCCCTGTTTGGCCCTCATTTTCTAAAATTCGTTTTTTCCTCGAAACTCATTTTCAATTACACATTTTATGGGATGCACAACTTCTAGCTAAAGCAAACAGGAGCTAGGTACACTCGATAGAATCTGCTCTAAATGGGATTGCATCATGGTAGGGATGTAAGAGGCTGGAACTATTCTTAATGGGGTTGGATTGTATAGGGTTGCTGGCTGTGAATTTTCCTCCATCTAGCCTGCTGCCGTCATGTAGAAGAGCTACAATAAGCCCTATCACTGTTTGTGGAGAAGTCAATTGAAGATCTAATATTTCTAGATTTGTAGTACCATAAATTGATTGAGCTTATCATGCACAAAGCTCAATATGCTTGAAATCACTTGCCATTTTATTATCCTTTTGAGGCTAGTCTAGAGTCTTGACCTCACGAACAAGTGGAGCATAAGATGACTGTTAGTTCTGTACCACCTTGCCTTGTTGAATCACTTGTCTATTCCAGCCCCTTTGGAAAACTGGCATATGATTTTATTCTTTTAATGTGGAATACTGGGTAAGAATCCTGCTTGGCTAGCTCGCGTCATCCTATCTTGGACATGTGCTTTATTCTGCACTGCAGTTTTAAGAGCAGATGAATCTCTTCCAACCCTTCAATGAATTTTGTCTCAGCGATTTCTTTTGGGCTTTAGCCAGTGATTTGAGAAATGGGAGAGGAAAACAATCTATTGGAAGGGGAAAAATATAACTAGATTTAAGCACAGCATTAGGAACTCCGCCTATGCATTGTAAAATGATTAGGTATTTGTGTGCTATGAACTCTCAAAGCTTCTAACTGCACTGTCCTATTATTGTCAGTGCTGCGTTCTACTCATGCTCTTTACATTAGAATTAATGATGTGGTGGTGGATCCCGCTCCTGTTTTTCCTTCTTATTCATTTCGCTACATGATAACCACCATCCTTATTATTTCTATGCCTTCGTGCAGATATTGTTTTCAGAGGCCAGAGTTTTGGGTATTGGACCAAAGTTTATGTCAATATATATTCTCAAGCTTGCTGTAAGTAGTTCTTATTGATTTTTTCCACTAAGATAATAATAGCAATGCATATTTTAGTCCAGACATCTTGCTTTTGCTTATTGCATGCATGCATGTCTGCTTGTAGATTGAACGGCGTATATATTATGATGAAGTTGAAGGTCTGAAAGTGGAATGGCTTGAAAATACATCAACGTTGGTGCTCAGTCAGTTTTTAAATAAACGGTCCAATAAAAGGAGTAGCCCCGGCAAGTTTAGGCCACTTGATGAAGTAGCTTTGATCGCTGATCCATGTGATTTGAAGCCGGAAATGAATCTGTCTGAATGGGATGATAAAGAGGATGGTGAGTCAAAATTAGACGGGGAGATTCTTAAATCAGATGTTTCAGGCATAATCAATATTGAACCTGCTGTTTTCCCCCTCACCGTTCGACTCCTATCGACAATTCCTGTTACGCTTCATGCTGTTGGGGGTGATAACGGGCCCCTTGATATTGGGACAAGATTGTATATTAGTTCATATCTATAGTAATGTCAGGATTTGGTATACTTACATGTGTTCCATGTGGACGACATCTACGAAGATGGTGAAAGATTTCTAGTGTCGAACATGGCTGTGTAGGTAGGGTTGTGTATAGGTTTGGTAGAGTTTCCAGGTAACGGGGGTTAGATTTCATGATGCATTTGAGTGCTTAATGCAGGATGGTAATCTGGTGAGGAGTTGTAGATGAGGGAGTTTGTCTGGTCTTTTGTGCAGTGGCTGTTTTTAGATAAAAGCTACTTGTGGGAATAAGGGCTTGTTTTTGTTGGCCACTTCGTTCCGTATAACTAGGTTGACTGCGAACTTCGTTTCAGTGCTGATCTTTGGTGCCAAAGTTCTTATGTTTCGACTTCCACTTTTACTAAATTGTAACCTAATAGGATTGGATGTTCCCGAACTGAGATTCTGCTGAATCCTCGTCATGAAGGCTGTAATTTTCTGATGGTTTTAATGTGCATTGTAATCGTCTCCCTTTTTGGATGTACTCTTATGTACAGTTATAGCATGTTTGATAATATGGACGGACGTTAGTGAGTGCTTATTTGACATCTATTGTTTTATTTTATGGTTTGTTACACCATCATTTTCAATGTGCAATCACATTATTAACACAATAAAAGATTGTACGGGTATAAGAAAAAAAAATTTCTACTTTTTAATTATACATTTTTCCAAAAATACTATTTGAAGCTCTTTTTTTTTTCAATTAATGAGAATCAATTGGCTCTAAGAAAGAAGATATTAAAATATTGTTCATTGTACTGTCGACTTTGTCTTCCGTATGCTTGAATGGTACAAACTACTTAGTATTAGATGGGATTTGAGAACATGACGTATAGGAGGAATTGTTTTAGTGCCTACACTTTTGTACTTTATATTACTTGAGACACAAATTGTTATAAATTAAGTAACAACTATTTCTAAAAAATGAAATTATATCTCACAAAAGAATAAAGTTAGCTGTATAATCTCTGTTTACAACTTAATTGACAGTTAATAAAGGTCCTTGCCATTGATTTCAAAAATAATTTTTATAATGAATGGATATAATGTTTGTGAACAAACTGTAAATGAAGTTGTGCATGTAGCTTGATTCTTCACAAAATTTGGAGCAGGACTACTGTATTTGGTTTAGGGATTTCAAGTCGGCACGTTGACTTGGACGACCCGCAAACCGACTTGATGGAAAAATGGCTTGTGTAACATTGTAACAGGCAGCCGTTGCTTGCCAGCTATAACCAATTTTTTAAATAAAAATTTGTCTCAGCTTGGAGGCTCGAGTCTAGCCGAGCCTCAATTTTTCGATCAAGCTTTGGCTAGGTTCAGCTCGGGCTGTTTTTTGATCAGGCCTCACTCGAGCCACAATTTTCGGCTCGCAAGTTGGCTTGATCCGGCTCGTTTACACCTTTAATTTGGTTGGAAGGAAGGTTGTTTGAGGATGATTAAACTAATACTAAACCCTTGTTTGACCCCATTTTAATGAGATTTTGAAAATAATGTATTTTGGAATAGATTTTTTTAGAAGAATGTGTGGTTAAAATTGAAGGATTTTTTTTTTTTTGTTTAAGTGTAATATTATTTTATTGAAGAATGTGTAGTTGAAGAGAAGATAGAGAAAAATATATTAAAATTTTAATAGGGCAGAACAAGGACAAAGTTAAGAGTTCAATCACACATTTTTATTTACGCGTAGCTAACATAAAGTTTTTACGATAATAAAGTCAAAAGTAACTAATAAGAAGTTTTTACGATAACAAAGTTTAACGACAGACTTTACCAATGTTACCCACAAAATATTTAATAGTTTACTTTTGTGTCTACCTATTTTAATTGTTTGGGGACTACTTTGTACCGTTACTTAGGTTGGGGACTATATTGCACTAACCTATAAAAGAAATCCACACGTGAATTCGTAACGGGAGAAAAACACAGAGAGAAAAATATAGAGAGAAAAGTTTGGAAAAAAAAAGAAGGAAAAATGGCGGCAGCAATCGGATGGTATGGACCTTTAATTGATCTCAGCAAAGCATCTTCTAATGTCGGAGGCTATGTACAAATCTTAGTTTACGTTCACAAATCCACTCCTATTCAGGTCTCTTCTCTTCTTTCAGTTGTTCACAAATTTGTAGTTTTATGCTAAAATGATATGGTTGGTTTTGAAAAGAGCATAAAATGATTTATTGATAATTATTGACGTCTATTTTTTTTATTTATATTTTTCAAATTGATTGTATGAGTAGTGGTTCTTTTCTTTTGGGTTTTTAAACACTTGTTTATGTGATTGTACATGTATGGCTTGCAGTATAAAATTTTGAGAAATGGAGTAGAGGTGGTGAGGACGGACATTTTGGTGGGTGACGACACGCGGACATATTTTCCGGTAACTATTTGGCAAAAGCAGATGGGATCCAAAATTGTTGCAGGACATGTCATTTTGCTCCAAAGTATGTATGTCATGTAATTATTTGCTGCTATTATCATTATTATGATTACTGCTACTGTTTTTTTACTACTTATTGTTTATGTTCCCCCCAAAATTGGAGGCAGTGCAGTATGACTTCATCTCCAATAAAGAAATTTCCTCTTTTTATGGCTTTAGGGCAATCAGGTAGTGCTTTTGTGTGCTTGATGGTTAGTGTAATATGATATCATTTATGAATATTAGCACCAATATGAGATTGGGTGTTTCCAGTCATTATCATATAGTCTGCGACGTAAATAGTACCTATTTATCTTTAGGGAAAGTGTCTTTAGAACTGTATGCTCCTATACCATTGGTTCTTGAGAGGCTCTTTTATACTGTAACCTTGGAACCCCGATCCTCTTTACAACTTTTGAGGACGATCTATGTCATAAAAATTTTAGGCTTAAAACCTGGTTCTACCTTGCTTTGAACTTGTGAATCCTCATGATTGAATTTGAGTGATGTGTCTGAGGTGTGCATAGGGAGGCTCCATCCTTGAGGTAAAAGTTTTGAATCACAATGATAAGCCAAAATTTTGCCTGTATTCCAATAGGTTGTAGATTGCTCTAACAGGATGACTACAGACCCTTATATCACATTCTACTAAGCAGATTGTGTATGAATATATCATATATCTCTTCATACAACAGTTCATATGCAGCTTTGTATTGGTCGATAATTTTGTTAACATTTTTTTTTCTTCTGAAAAGCAACAGTTCCACCATAAAGGTTGAAAAAAAAAAATGAGACGGAAAGAAAATGATTTCCTTGAGCATTCAACACCATGTTGCTTTTTTGTATTAATATCTGCGAAATTCACAGTTGTTACGCCAGTAGAAAACTAGTACAATGTTTAAATCTATATGCTAGAAATAGAATTCATTGAACAATCAAGCACGGGGAGACTATTGGTACCATGCAACAACGAATGACGTTAAATTGAGTTTCAAATCACGAGGTTGAGAGATGGAGTGAGGGAATGTTGACTACAATAGTGATAGAGAATGTTGGATGTTAATTTTGGTTGTTTCTTCCCTCATCCCACTGCAGGTGATTCCACATCACATAGGAATGTAAGATTACAATACATTTTCTAAGTTATTTCTGAATTAGCTTTTTTCTGCCTTGATTACCTATTTACCTTTTCAGTTTCCTCTTTCCCCACTTAGTTCTTTAGTTGGACCACTTTTTTCTCCTATTTTATCTTCATGCCTGTCATCTCCTCGTGTCCATTGATTTATATTTCATTGTCAGCTATTCCACTAATGCCATTTCTTCCCTGCGTTTGCTAATGCTAATACCAAGTTATCTAAAATTTAGAATTTCTCTTTATGAGATTCTCTTACTGGGACGAGTTTGAATTGCTTTTCTTAGACGTCAGAATTGCAAGATTTGGAGATGCTTTTGAGGCCAGAACTCTACCGTGTTCATCTTTGCAATGTCTACTCAACCCAAGTGATATACTTGCTTCTAAAGGTACTCATCTCCCTCTCAGTCTCTTGCTGTTGCTGTTGCTGTTGCTGTTGCTGTTGAGATTAGTAAGATAAATATTGATGGTCAAATCTATGCTAGTTCCTATAAATAATTTTTTTTCTTTCATATTAAATATCATGAAGAGATAGGGGTATAACTTACTTCAAACTATTTACGTCTATATTAGACTTTCAAAAGCTTTAAGTGGGTCCATGTCATCCGCCTCAACTAGGTCTTGCTTGTCAAAATAACAAAGAGAGCTTTGGAAAAACTGATTTGCCCTTCCTAGGAATTCTCATTAAATAGGTAGTATGTCCTAATGCTTTACAAGGAAAACAGAAATTAGAGGGATCTCCTGATGTCTAACGTATACTCCCTAAAATTAGGATCTAAATATGGTTAAGAATATTATACGACTTGTACAAGTATTATAGACAAATAAATAACGTTAACCATGTGGGAATTGGACCCTTTGCATTAACATTGCCTGCCTGGGATTTATAGTTGACGCCGTATTTACATAAATAACATGCCTACATTACAGCAATACACATTACACGGAAAGCTGAAAATAAAATTTAACTAAGCAGCTTTCACTTGAGGTTATACAGTCCTACAACATTTATCTTTGGTGAAGTTAATAAATATCCGCTATAACCTGCAAAATAGAAAGTCGTGATTCTGAATAGAATCAATTGATTCTGGAGCCATTGCCCATATAGTGTAATTATTATCATATATACCGTGACTATGTTATGTTGTCCAAAACTTAGTTAAAAATAGAGATGCATCCTTAAAAGAAACCTGGACAAAGTGTCGATCACTTCATATGCATACTATAATGCAGCAGTGCAACAGTATATTTTGAAAGAAAAACTTTGACCTGCTAAAGAAGCATTCAAGTCCATGCCTGAAGAAACTTTAGATATGTTTGTTACGTAAAGCAATAATATCAAATTATTATCCTTCTTTCACAAAGAATTGTTATTATATACAAAAATTATATAAGCTTTTTACAATTATTTTCCCAACACAAATTGTTGTTTGTAAC